ATCACTTAAATACTCACAAACAGAATCTTGGTGGAATAAACAGACGTGCCAAATGCTTCAGGTGCTGTCTTTATGAGTGAGAAAGTTGCAGGCCAGGTATCAGGCCAGGCATGGTGTGTGTGTGTATGTGTGTGTGTGTGTCTGTGTGTGTGTGTGTGTGAGACACTGTATGTGTGCATTTATAGTGGTCTTGAGCCACTAAGGACTATAGAGAGTTAGAAATCAGACTCTAGAGATCCATGTTATGTAAGGGAAGGAGAGAGCCAGTTGCATATAAGAAGTTCTTAACAAAAGCAATATGACCCAAGTTTGCCCCAATAGGACCATAACCTGGTGGGGAGGGGGCTGCTGAGACTGCCCTGAGGTTGGTCTCCGTTTAGGAAGTTGATGTAGTGAAAACCTCTAATGAAATCATAGCTTGAGAAGGCTCACCAAGCCATCAAGTCTAACTGTTGGCCTCTGTACAACCCATGTAAATTTCCCAGAGCAGCTGTTGGGATCCATTTCTCAGGTCAGCCCAAGGAAAGGCTGGTCACCTCCACTGGCTAGCAAGAAAGCCACCACAAATCCAAGTCCTCTCACACCAACTGAATCTCCAGTCCATCCCCCAGAAAGACGTAAAAGTTCTATCACCATTCTCTAAATGACCTAGTATTCCCGGCCATTCCACTAAATCACCTCCGATCTTGCTTTTCACTGTGATATCCTTTGCCCCTCTCTGTCTCTTGCCTTATCTGTCATTTTCTTTCTAACTACACATCTCAATTCAGAAGCCCAGTGTCATTTATGAGGCTCATTGTGTTATACAGAAAATGGCTCTCATCATTTCATGGTGCTTAGCAGTGCATGACTAAAATGTGTGCCCACTGGGCAGTGAAGGATTTTGTGAATAAAAGGGAATCACCAGGCAAGTTAATATTCTTTGCAAATCTGAAGAATTCCTTCCTTGGCCTAGATTGGGTCTTCCACGACAAGACAAAACAACAAACCAGAAAATAGCAAGGTAATCCCATTTGCATAAAGAGCTATTGTGGAGATGAGCCTGGTGTTATTATTCGAGAATGTTTTGCTGTGACATTAATGTTATGAATGCCATTCACAAAACACAAAAAAATCATGCAGCAGTTATTAATGAAGAGGGATGCCATTTTTCATCTTAATCAATTTCACCACTGTGAGAATTGTCTAACCCTTTCATGTGTTGTTCACAGAAATGTAACCTGGAATAGCTTAGCTATCCCAGATACGCACTGCTCGCCAGAGCTAGAAGAAGGCTACCAGTGTCCCCCCGGATTTAAGTGCATGGACCTGGAAGACCTGGGACTTAGCAGGCAAGAGCTGGGCTACAGTGGCTTTAATGAGATAGGTCTGTCTGACTGGTAAAGCACGTTTTCAGTTTCTATTTTGCAATGTTCGTAAAATGGAGCATTTCGTTGTATAATTGATATTTCTTATTAAGGCTGATGATAGTAGTTAAGAAACACAGATGCAAATTTTAACTGTATGTCTATACTGCTTTTATTCCATCTCAGTCTATAATATGCAGTGGATTCCCATGTGATTTTAGCAGTGTCTGCGCAGAGTTAAATCTCTCTCCCTTTAAACCATCCTGATTCCTAGTTACAGCACATCAAAGTGTTGAGCAAGGTTGAGGGGTGTTAATTCAATGACAAACAAGACATGGTTTTTGCTACACGGTTCCCCATAGTGTCCTGTGAGGTGAGGTGAGTCTTTAGTCACTCAGACGCCAGGCACTGATGAGCAGTGAGAGCTGAAAAACAATCCTGAAACAACACAGTTAATGAAAGAGTTAATGAATATGCATCAGCTTTATAACAGACGTATGAGAAATGAAGGTATGGGGTATGAAGTACGCAGGCGTACATGCCTAGTCATGGCTCGTCATGGTGAGTGCCAAAATGTGCCACTGCACACGGTCATGAAGGAACACAGCCCCTGCCATGAAGTTGCTGTCATTGCATTTGTTACCATTTTATGCAAGTTACACATATCTCATTATTAAAGCAAACACTATGGACGTCTAAACAGTTACTTTATGGCTTGAAATTTGTCTTGGTCTGCTCAGGCTGCCATAATAAAGTATTGTAGACTGGGTGGCAGAATAATGTTAATTTGTGTCTCAGCATTTTGGAGCCTGTATGCCTGAGACTGGGGTGCTGGCATGGCTGGATTCTGGTGAGGACACTTTCAGTAGCTTACAGATGGCAGCTGTACCATTACAGGGTCGGGAGGGAGAAGGGCGAAAGAGCATGCTCTCTCCCACCTCTTCTTGTAAGAGGACTCACCCCATCATCCTGAGGGTATCTCAACCTAATTGTTCCACAAAGGCCCGGACCCCTAATACCACCATGGCGGGGGGTCAGCATTTCACCATAAGAATTGGGAAGAGGGGGCACACAAATATTCAGTCCGTCAGAGAACTCTTGCAACACCATGTTTAAAAAGTTAAATTTTCTTAAATTTTCAAGGCCCAGGCACATTTAAGAAAGTTCTAGGTGCTTGTACCCAGGGCCTAAGGAAAAGTCTCTCAGTGTCTATTAGGGTGGTGCTTGCACACCTGTAGAACCAGCTCTGTTTCCTGATTTGTGATGTTTCACATCAGTGGGCCGTGGGCCATGAAGGGAAAACTCTGACTCTAGCTACAGTTTATTTGCACTTTTATCTCCCAAGGATTTAAGCTCTTTGAAAATAGGAAACTCTCTTTTCATCTCTAGGTCTCCAGGGCCTTGCAAAATGCCTGATTCCTAGGGAGTCTTCTATGAATATTTACAATTGGACTGAACTGTTTGCATTAGAAGATGGAGCCATAATAGGAAATTAAGTTGTTTTCTTGGTGTGTTTTCCCCCTGCTTTGTTTGTTTTTGTTGGCAGTGTTCAGTATTTCTCATAACTTCCTCTTCTGAACAAGCTTAATTTGGTCTATTTGCTTCTTTCTCTCAAATGATGATTAAATTCATCACTGTGGTGTGACTAACACTGAGATCATGAAATGTTGACTTTGTGCTAAAATCAGCATTTTTTAAACTGGTCACTATAGTTTGAAATGAGAAACTACTTACTAATATCATTTATCTATGTAGCCACATCCTAGAGCATTTTAGAACATTGTTTTTTAAGTTTTTAATGGAGTGTTTGCTCAGAAAATTAGGAAGCAATGATCTTATTAGGCTCATGTGATCATCTCTTTCTTCAAGCAGTAGGATTTAAAATATAATTAGGTGCTTAATTGTGCATATAAATTTGGGCATTGTACTATATAGATGCATATATGTAAGTAATCATGATTAATTGTAAAGACGCACACTTCCTTTTTTTACTAATTAAATTATCATGTGATACATTAAATTTCAGCTCATTTATAAAATTTAATTTATAAGTAGTTAGATGTCTCATTAAAATTTAATATTGATATTGAGAGACTTGGTTTTAAATATATATTAAAAGTCAGAGTCATTAAGTAGAAAAATTGCAGTCGCTACTATCAGATTGCACCTTAAAATCACCCAGACATCAAGGAGACTGAGAAACAAAAGTGACAATTCCCGTACTTATAATTCTATAAGCCCCATAACTACGAAACATACTTCAGAGCACAAGTGTCTAACAGAAAACTTCCTGACAGATTTCTGGCTTCTGAGGAGCTCAGACAGAGCCAGCAGAACGCCAGTGAAACTAACCAACAATCCTCGAGGAGCAGAAGAGTCCCTTATTGAATCCCTGTGGGTGCTTGCTGGGACTCCGCAGGGCGTCTCTGGTCTGTGCGGTGAAGTTAATATACTAGAGACGCATGCTGGGTTTCAGTAATGAACACCTGAAACTTACATCATGCTATAATGCAATGAAAAAAAGTCAAATAAATGAAAATGAAAAAAAAAAAAAAACAACAGATAAACACAAAACAAAGTGGAGCCTCTCACTCCTCAGGCAGGGAGGGGAGAGAAGATAATTGGCTGTCGGAAGTGAGGGGCCGGTGACTGATCCATGCTGGCCGGAATGAGGGACAGCCCGGAGTTCACGGGTGACCTAGATGGAGAGCTGTTTTAGGCACCCAATTCCCAAGCACCACTCACCGGCCAATTCAATTAACACCTGAGAGTGACCAAGGCCCAGGTGACTCTCTGCATAGACAGCTGTGGGTCCCTGGGCAGAAGCTACACACACCTCACTTCGCTCTACACACACTTCACTTTGCTCTACACACACACACACACACACACACTTGAAAAAACCTTCATTTCTGCCCCCAATATCATCTCACCTTCTCTTCCATGAGGGACACGTAGATTCTCTAAACATTGATGTCAAAGGTGAGAAATAGTCAACACATATAAGCAGGCGTTGTAAAACGGTGTTTTCAGTACACTGGAAGCTGAAGAAATATCAGTGTCATTGAACTGGCAACTTCCTTGCTGTGATCTTCCAGATGACTGCAAGAAGTTGGCTCAGGTGATGGGTCAAAAGATATTCAGGTGGGAATTTGAATCCTCCCTTCATTGTACAGACAAGTTAAAAACAAGCGCCACTCATTATTGTAAGTAAAGAATTGGGGAAATCATCTATTATAGATGATCCACATAATATTAACACCATGTATAATTGAAGAGCATGCATTAGTTATTTTCTGATGTCCAGATTACATGTTGATTTGATATAACAACCCCACGCGTGTCATCCAGTGATTAAATGCATCCAGGAAAGTCACTTAGAAACTAAATCGACATCAGGCTTTCCCCCACACACACACACTATTATTTTTTAGAATCATAAGAATAAAAGACAAAAGTCCAGTTTTTAAAAAAAAAATTAGAATAACCTCAAACTGATTGAAACAATTTATATATGAGAAATGAAGCCCAAAAGCAAGGTTAAAAACTGTAAACAGGACATTTTGAAAATAACCAACACATGCTCTTAAATTACACATGGTGTTAATATTATGTGGCTCATCTATAATAGATTATTTTCCCAAATCTTTACTTACAATAATCAAAGATAAAGTCAGGAAGTGACAAACACTATGTTCTCACAGTGACTCATTGTCCAAGGCAGTCTTTATTATTGCAATTACTGTCATTACTTGTGACCACCACTGCTATCTGTTCTCAATTGCTTATTACATATCTGGCACCAGGCAAAAGGTTTTCCATCCATTGTGTTTATAATCCTCAAACTAAACTCGCCAGGTAGCATTAGCCCAAAGTGTAAGTGAGGCATGTGCAAGGACTGACTCTCCCAAAGTCAGGTGCGGGGCCACCGTCAGGACAAGACCTGCTGTCCCGTGTGCTGGTACCAGTGCCTTGCTCTTTGGCTCCAAACTCTGCATTAGCTGGGAGGTGGGAGCATCCCTGTTCCTGGAGGAGACATGTCCTCCACTATAATAATCGCTCTCTGTCTGCCTCCTCCTGTCCTGAATTCTGCAGGAAAGAGCCGTGAGCATGAGGGAGTCTGTTGGCCACGGCAAACTGACGCCCCTTCAGGCTGGTCTCTGGCTTCACTGTAGCCCCGCCCATGATGTGAATGAGAGTTGGTGCGTCACGTATAGGACTGTAGGGCAGAATCTACCTGGAAAAAGAATATATCTGGGAGGCAGCGCATTTTATAAGAGAATTTACTGGGCTACTGATATTTGGGCAAGGACTAGTGGCAATGGCAGCAAAGATATATAGACCAAGGATGTGGGAGAGAACATTGAAAGCAAGAAAAAAATAAATAAGGTATTTGTTGTATCCTAGTCAAGTTCACACTTACTTGAACTAAATTAGAAATTCACTGTGGTAATTGTGTTTATTCTATGTGATTTATAACTACTTGCATTAATTTCTCTGGTGTATTTGATTTTTCTTCCTCTCTCCCTGGATAGATGAGTGTATAAACTTGCTTTCTAAATACTACAAACAAACCAACAATTTTATTTTATTTTATTACAAGTGATTTTCAAAACGCATATTAGGTTAATTGCTTTCTTATACATGCGACATAAAGACATTAGTCCATTAATGGAATTATAAAGCAGTAGGTAGTAAACCATGAGTCAGCAGTGTCACAAATGTTAAAATATGGCTCCTTGTGTAAATTTAAAGTCACAACATAAGATTTGTAAATTTTCGTTTAGCAGTGTCAAATTAATAAGCAATTTAAAGCAGAGAGGACTTCAGCCTGCTAGGTTCTCAATCATTACTCCCCCATCACTTTTTAAGGAGGTTATTGTGAGTAGTGAAATTTGGAACTGGCATTTTTTTCCAAGGGAAAAATATATCCTACCTATTACTCTTTTTTTTTAAGATTTATTTATTTATGCATACAGAACTGGGGTACAGAGGTGCAGGGGCAGTGAGAGGATTCACC